CGGGGACAGGTGGCGGTGGCTCCACCCACTCTGGTGCCTGCACGTGGGCTCCCTCTTCTGGGCAGGAGGGGAGCCACACCGACTCACTACACAGATGAAATTCAATGTTGATAAATGCACATTGGAAAACATTATCCCAACTATACATGTAAAATGATGTGGTCTAAATTAGCTGCTACCACTCAAAAAAGAGATCTTGGAGTCATTGTGGATAGTTTTCTGAAAACATCCACTCAATATGCAGTGACAGTAAAAAAAGCTAACAGAATATTGGGAATCATTAATAAAGGGATAAATAATAAGACAGAAAATATCATATTGCCTCCATATAAATCCATGGTACACCTACATCTTGAATAATGTGTGCAGATGTGGTCGCCCCATCTCAAAAAAGATATGTTGGAATTGGAAAAGGATAAAAAAAGGGCAACAAAAATGATTAGGGGTATGGAACGGCTTCCATGTGAGAAGAGATTAATAAGACTAGGACTTCTCAGCTTGGAAAAGTGACGACTAAGGGGGGGGTATGATAGAGGTCTATAAAATCATTACTGGTGTGGCAGCAGGTTTAAAAAAACAAAAGGAAGTATTTCTTCACACAACACGGAATCAACCTGTGGATCTCCTTGCCAGAGGATGTTGTGAAGGCCGAGACTATACAGGGTTCAAAAAAGAGCTAGATAAGCAGGGCCGGCTCTACCATTTTTGCCGCCCCAAACAAAACAAACAAACAAACAAAAGCCACTTAGACTGCCACCCCAACTGCCGAAGCAAAAAAAACAAAAAAAATCTGCCCGGACTGTGCTGCCCCAAGAATGGACGGAATGCCGCCCCTTAGCATGTGCCGCCCCAGGCACGTGCTTCCTCCACTGGTGCCTGGAGCTGGCCATGTAAATAAGTTCATGGAGGATAGGTCCATCAATAGCTATTAGCCAGGATGGGCAGGGATGGTGTCCCTAGCCTCTGTTTGCCAGAAGCTGGGAATGAGCACTTGATGATTACCTTTTTGCTCAGCCCGTCTGGGGCACGTGGCATTGGCCACTGTCAGAAGACAGGATACTGGGCTAGATGGACCTTTGGTCTGACCCAGTATTGCTGTTCTTATGTTCTTATTGCAAAGAAGTGGGAACCCCAGAAACTCAAAAACCAGAAGGCAAAGAAAAAGAACCCAACATTAATTAGTTTTGAAATTGCATGATTTTTTAAGACAATCTCAATATTTTGGGGGCCTGACTTGTGGTCTTGGAATGCTTGCAGCTGGCATTCCAGCATGGAGAGATGGAAGGAGTGTGCTTTCAAGGCCAGGTGGGAATTCATGTTTTGGCCCAAATGCTGACCGTTTTTCCAGTATGTAAATAAAATATAGGGTTAAATTCCTCCCTGGTATAGCTGCATGGAAGTCTCAGTCAATGGCCCTGTGGAGGAAAAAGTTTGCTAGGGCCTAAACTTTAGTTGG